AGGGAAGAAAGTATATGAACATTTAATGTTTGAGATTTATTTCTTTTATTTTCTTTTTCTTACTTTAAAAGATCGTTTTATCTAGTTTTAGATATTTTTCATAAAAGTTATTTGCATACTTCTTTTGTAAAACGAAATTAATATTTGTAATCTGGCACTAGGCATGCCTTATATTCTTTATATTTTCTTCATTTCTACTTTTCTTTTCAAATCATGTATATAAAAAAACATGTATAGAAGGCAAAAGAAATTTACGATTTTTTTTCCTTTTTTTTTTTTTTTTTTTTCTTTACTGCGTGAACATAATTTCGTAAGTTTTATGGTAATTCTTTGCAAATAAAGAATCTCAACTATTATAGCTTTAAAAACGTTAGTTATAGCGTTAGTACTTTAATTATTTAATAATTTGAGGAATATAAACGTTTACAAAATTTAATGTGTTAAATTTTTTCGAGTCTTTTATCATGATAACGAATTCAACACGTATAACATTATAGCTTAAAACTCGATTTTTTAAATTGTGATAAATGATAAATTAATTATTAACGTACAATCCAGAAAAATAAAGATTACTTAATTTTCTTACGTCATCTAAAAATATGGAAAATTAGATATAACATTAAAAACCATTATCTGAATGAATTAAAAAATTATTACCTTCAACCTCCATCAAAGAAACTTCTTTTTTAGGTACGACAACATATAACACTCGACCATCTGATCTTTTACCCACAATCCAAAAATTCGTTGTTGATCGTGTATAAATTTCTGTTAAATGCGGATGCCTTGAAAATAATCCTCATTATTGTCAATGAAGCCTTAAAGTTAATTAAAAATCAATAAGAAGGAACTTACTTTTCTAGATCTTCATGTAGATCGCATAATGCATGTGCCATTTCGCTAGTGATGGTTAACCCTTTGGACGATGACGTTCCATTAGAGGCAGTAAATGGATACAATGAAGATTTAATGGCCAAATTAAGTTTGTTAAAAAACACATAACGATATTCTTTATCTGTATCAGATCTGAATGGTAAAGATCAACAAAACTCTTTAATACAATTATTTAGAAAAAAATGTATATATATATTAAAAAATAATAAATCAGATAAATATACCCAAGTTTTCCGGAATGTTCATAATCCTCATTAATGGTTTTGATAATGTCATCTGAATGTGATGACAAATATTTGTGTATAGATTTGTAAAGAGTCACATTAGAAACTTTAGTGTGGACCTCTGGTAAGGAATTCAATATCAGGAAAACGAGTGTAAGATCATTTTGCTAAAAAGTTTATTAAAAATTTTCAGAATAATTTACATAAGGACAGTAAATAATAACAATATAATAATGATGACGATCTACCTTATATGCAATGAGAAAATATTCTTCAGTACTGCCTTCGTGTACATCGTCGGCTTCAGTAGCATCTCCTTTGGGAACATCAGTTACCTTTTTGGTCAAATATACTTTCAAAGGTTTTATGTCGCTATCATCTACATTCAAATGTGATGGTCCCAACAAGAAATTTGTAGATGGCGTCAAATTCGACGAAGAATGTGATGTATCATGTTGAGTTGATGAATTACTAGAAGCATACGTGTTGTTAGGTGGTGATGTACTTGGAGAGATGGATGATGAAAAGTATGAAAAGAGATTGCTTCCGGAGAAATTTCGGGTAAAACCTTTGAGCGAAGATAACTAAATAAAAAAAAAATAAAAATAAAAATATATATAGATATAGATATGTCGTATGGGACTTGACTCAAAATAATATAAAAAAATAGTTTAAATTCCATCAAAAATGAACATACCTTTTCAGTTTCTTTGGCTTTCTTCTTTTTCTCAAGTAGTTCCCTTTCAAGCGCATCTCTCTCTGATATCAAAGGAACTAGATATCGTAATATGCTCTTTAGATCATTTTCTGATATATTTCTATTTCCATCTCCATTATATACCAATTTATTTTGCCACAATACAAGTATCTCCGATATAAAATTATATTCTTTCTGAATTTGGTCAACAAATGATGAAACCTTCGAAATGGCTGGATTGGAAAGGGGAAGATAAAAAATGCCTATTTTCATAGTAATAAATGCATATATGATTGAATGAATCTTACATAATTCTACTTTAACAAAGTTCTCATTTTTTTGTAAGAATGCTGACCATCAATTGTCTTTGTAAGTTCAGTGTTATCAAAATCCCATTCAAAAACCCAATTGGAGAAAAATTCCTCTAATTTAGTTTTTAAAGCCATTACTCCAAAGGTTTTTACTGTCGATTCGAAAGTACCGTTGAATACCTGAAATATTGAAATATTGAAATTTTTTATTTTTATAATAATGTATTTGCAATAAAACAATATGTTTAAATGAATTCATTATTTACTCTATACATTTCATATCCCATGTCAAGCATTCTTTTTATTCCTGAATCATGTAAATTCGAATCAAGATATTCAATGGCATTTTTCGGTTTGCCGTCTTTATCCTTCGTTAATTTTTTTATGTAGCCTAATTCGATTGACTTTTATTTGTAAAGATAATCAAAATTTTTTTAAAAAAATAAAATGTACGAAAATCAATTTTCTTACATATTGGGATGACTTACAACATATATCCAATAATCCTTTTCAGGTTCATGAAATACCATTCGATTTTTTTGTGTGTGAACATTCTCACAAGCCTTTGTTGGAGAAAATGCCCTACATTGTGGCGTAAAAATAATATTTCAAAATTCTTCAATTATAACATTTCACCAGAACGTTAAATCTCCGTCAGCATCAACAAAATTATTTTCATACAAACACTTTTTACCAGCAAGTAAAAATATTTCCGGCAGGTTGCATTATACTGCCAATGTGTAAAGATATAGCTTAAAAATATAACCGCAAAAAAAAGCTAACCTTGTAAAGTTAATTAAGCCCTGAGCCAGGCCAATTTGACGCATTTGGACGTCGATTGGAACTGTTTTCTTTGCTACATAATATAATAATTGATCTTTCTGCGTTTCTTCTGTAGGTCCAAAAGTAGGATTATATATCGCAAAATGATTGAGACTCGGCGGAACGGCGACTGTACCATAAGAAATTGGTATTTCCATTATGTAGGATATTCACAAAAAAATCATGAATTAAAGAGTTTGTAAGTCGTCACCACTTAGAAAAAAATTTCGAGTTTTATTTGACCATTAAGGTACTCCAAAGTCACAAATCTGATGTTTTCGTAATTGATAATGCATGATCTATAATTAACTGATTGTAGCGGTAACATATCGATATCGATATTAATATTTGGCATCATACGATAAAAATTAGAGTTTACTGAATTTACTATATATCGATAAACAAAATGTACTTCAAACTTATGACCATTTCGCAATTAATTCGTCCCGCGCATTCCTTTCGTTTAACACCTGTCGTTAAAGTTGCAAGTTTTCACATCGGTGAGCTTTAAAATGGTTTGTTGTTATGTAAGAAAATACATAGCTTTTGAAATATAGTTAAACATGATAAATGGCTAGGTCGTGCTAGCGCGTTTCGGGCTACTAAAACTATTGAAAATGGTGCAGGTAAATAGACTATATTTTCTTCCGACATCAAAAATTATGACTTTAAAATAGGTACTAATACATCGATAATTATAGAATACATAAAAGACACAGTAAACGAGGCAGTCGTACTTCCTCCAAAAGACAAAGTTGCAGGATCATATCATTGGGATTTTGAACGACTTTTGTCTTTATCTTTGATTCCACTTACTATTGCATCAGTAGTAAACGGGGCACATCCTATTACTGATCTTTTTTTGGGTGTCATTCTCCCATTTCATTGTCATCTTGGATTCGATGCAATGATTACTGATTATTACCCATCTCGTCGTAGTCCAGTCTTAAATAAGGTTCTTATTTTACGTTTAATTCTACATCTACTCAGATTCCTAAGATCATACACTATACTATATATCTTAATTTACACAACTAA